ACGATTCCAAAAATAATCTGAATTTTCTAGTATTCGAATTCGAAGATCATGTGCACCGACACTTTGAAAATCAGTCAATGTTATGGGCAGTCAGGAAATTATCTCAAAAATGATGACAAAGCTCTCAAGAGCGATAGAAATCTCGAGTACATAATGCAATTCTTTACGACAAATGCCGAGCGATTCTGGAAACAGCACGACGGAAAAATCACTAACACGATTTTGTAACATATCCCGAAGCACTGAGGAACTGTATTGCATGAACTTCAGCCTGGATGAACCAGAAAAGGATACGTAAAATGTTCCTATAATGTCACGCACGACGGTAAAATCACTATGACGATTTTGTTACATATCCCGAAGCACTGAGCAACTGTATTGCATGGACTTCAGCCTGGATGAACCAGAAAGGATATGTAACATGTTTCTATAATGTCACGTACGACGGAAAAATAACTATGACAATTTCGTTACATATCCCGAAGCGCTCAGCAACTGCATTGCACGGACTTCAGCCTGGATGAACCAGAAAGGATATGTAACATGTTCCTATAATGGCACGCACGACGGAAAAATCACTATGACGATTTTGTTACATATCCCGAAACGCTCAGCAACGGTATTGCATGGACTTCAGCCTGGGTGAACCAGAAAAGGATATGTAACATTTTCGTATAATGTCACGTACGATGGAAAAATAACTATGACAATTTTGTTACATATCTCGAAGCGCTCAGCAACTGTATTGCATGGACTTCAGCCTGGATGAACCAGAAAGGATATGTAACATGTTTCTATAATGTCACGTACGACGGAAAAATAACTATGACAATTTCGTTACATATCCCGAAGCGCTCAGCAACTGCATTGCACGGACTTCAGCCTGGATGAACCAGAAAGGATATGTAACATGTTCCTATAATGGCACGCACGACGGAAAAATCACTATGACGATTTTGTTACATATCCCGAAACGCTCAGCAACGGTATTGCATGGACTTCAGCCTGGGTGAACCAGAAAAGGATATGTAACATTTTCGTATAATGTCACGTACGATGGAAAAATAACTATGACAATTTTGTTACATATCTCGAAGCGCTCAGCAACTGTATTGCATGGACTTCAGCCTGGATGAACCAAAAAGGATATGTGGCATGTTCGTATGATATGAATGAGCGAGGGGAAAATCACGATTTTGTTGTTGTTTTTGTTTCCTATAGTGTCACGCATTACTGAAAAATTATGTGGTTTTTGTAAAATATCCTGTAGCACTCGGTAACGTAGAAATACTGCGMGGACGTTTGCGTGGGAAAACCAGAGCGGATTTATAATATGTGGCTACATGGTGATTTTACTATATATCTGGATTCGTCTTTCAGAAAACTGGTGTACCATGGACTTCAGTCTAGGGTCTAGCCCACGAATGAAAATAGTGATTTAATATTTTAGTAGCTATCTAGTCCCCATACAATCTAAAAACATGAAAATGGGTGTAAGTTATGATATAAATAAAATACTAATCGGAAGACTTAGCTTGGTGCGTTTGACTTGTTGAGTTTTGAAGCTGTTGTCTTGATTCGATGCTCTGGGAGGTTGGTCACGGGAAGCGCAAGCTGAAAACACTTTCTGCTTCTCTCCGTCGTTCTTGGTTGAAGGAATTCATGTTTAAATCAATTGTGGCTGGCGGTTTCGTTTGGTTTTCAACAACTGTGTTATGGTTTAAGCGAAAACCAATCCAAATGTATAATCAGGGTAGCTCCTTTGTTTCCCTTCCAGTGAAAAGAAAACCCACGCGCCTTCTTTAACTCCCCAAGGCAAATTCGATTGGAAACTGGCTCAATTTCGCACAAATGCGTCAGAGAGACACCATATCTTCTAACTCAGAGGCACATCTCGTTTTGTGTCC